GTTGCCTAAGACCATCGGGAAACACATATATAATTACATATTATTTTTGTGATTAATCACTATGCTATTATGTTCAACCCTTTCACAGGGGTCGTCTAAGACCATCGAAAAACACATATATAATTACATATTATTTTTGTGATTAATCACTATGCTTTAATTATGTTCAATTTGTAACAATGAAATTGGGGGTACCACAACATGAGGAACTGTATTAAAGGGTCGCAGCATTAGGAAGGTTGAGAACCACTGCTCTAGCATATGAGCAGCACTGAGTCAGACAGCTTTCCACAGCCACCTTTGTCCCACTCTTCACCCTTGGGGAGGCGTGCCCACTTCTCTTAAAGGCCTCATCCAGCAAGCTGGAACCACTTCCTCTATAGTGAGACTCTGTCTCCCAGGACTGACCTCTGTGGCTGGTTTACTGTGCGTTCCTGGAACAATCTACTGTGCTATTGATGCTCCTGTCATCTCTATACTATTCTTGTAGTGCCCTTCCCTTCCTGCCCTCTGTGCATCTCAGTGCCTGTCTTCACTTGGGCTAGAATGGCCACATGACTACTAACACTTGTATTGGGATCATCTAACTTCTCTGGGCCCCTTACCTTTTATTTCCTCCTCCCCTCCCACCCCTTCATGCCCTGCACTTGGGCAGTGTGGCAGGGACACTGCTAGGCAGGCACTTTGCTAGATCTCTGAGAGACAGTGGGGCCTAACTCATGCTTGGGTCATGAATAGATACCTCATGTGTGATAAGGGCTGTGATGCATAATGCTGTGGGAGTAGCCAGGCTGGAGCAGCTGGCTCTGCCTGGGCAGTGAGGGTCCGCTTTACAAGGAGGTGATTAAAATTTTTTTTTAAATAATTGATTTCAGAGAGGAAGGGAGAAGGAGAGAGAGATAGAAACATCAATGATGAGAGACGATCATTGATTGGCCACCTCCTGCACGCCCCACACTGGGGATCGAGCCTGCAACCTAGGCATGTGCCATGACTGGGAATCGATCCTTGACCTTCTGGTTCATAGGTTGACACTCAACCACTGAGCCACACTGGCTAGGCAAGGAGGTGATATTTGAGCAACCTTGAAGGATTTAGCTAGGTAGACAGTGGGAGAAAGGGAATTCCATTCAAAGAGAATAGCATGCATAAAAGCCTGAAACCCTATAGTGTTCTTAGAGAAAATATAATGTGGTGTGAATAGAACCAAAGGAATACTAGTATGTTATTTGGAGTTGAGGGTTCATGGGTAGCAGAGGGAGGAAATGAGGCCAGAGAGGTAAGCTGGAGCCTCCTCCTGGGTAGTTTAGTCTACCCTTCCAAAGCTGGGAGCCTGTGAAGGGTTCTGTATAGGGCCATGACATGGTCAGATTTGTGTGTAAGAAAGTTGAGACATCTGGCTGTGAGGAGAGGGGCGTGTCTCACTTGTCCTCTAGCAATTCTGTGAGGCAGATGGGGCAGATATTGTTATGTACTTGTTTACACCTGAGGACATTGTTTACACCTGAGAACACTGAGGCCCGAGGATACCTGGCTAACTGTCCAGGAAGTAGAGGACGGAGGATTCACCTGGCTTCCAGTCTCTGAATCTCTTCCTCTGGGCACACTGCCATTGTTAACAGCATCTTCTAGAAAGCTGCCTGCAGCTGGGCAGTGGGAAGATGCTGATAGGAGCAATATGAAGCAAATGGTCATTGATACAATCTTGTTGAAGGAGTGTGGCATTGGGGTTCTGTGGCCTGTGGTGTTCAGTGTCCTGACCTCTGCGCCAATGCCCAGCCAGCAGGAAGCAGCAGGGAGCCTTGGGCTCCAAGCTCTATGTGGCCTCCACTCATCACTGTCTTGCTCATTAATTCAGAGAAGCACCTGCTGCCTAATACTGGCATTGGGTGAAGCATCTGGTCCTCAAGGTGCAGTCCACAGCCCCAGCTTGAGCCCTGGCAGTCAGAGAGGCAGGCCCTTTCTCTGTCCATGTTGTGAAATTAAATAACTTTATTTTTGTATTCTTTTCTTTTTAAATTTTTATTTCAGAGAGGAAGGGAGAGGGAGAGATAGATAGAAACATCAACGATGAGAGAGAATCATTGATTAGCTGCCCCTGCACGTGCAACACTGAGGATCCAGCCCACAACCCGGGGATGTGCCCTGGCCAGAATCAAACTGCAACCTCCTGGCTCATAGGTCGACGTTCAAGCGAAATAACTTTATTTTTGAAAAACAAACGTAGTATGATCTAGCACCACAGAACAGGAGCTTGGAGATGAGGCAGACCTGGGTTTCAGTTCTACCACTGCCACTTAGCTGGCTGTGAAATCATTTAATATGTATGAGCTCAGTTTCTTATCTCTAAAATGAGCAAAGTCAAATCTACCTGAAAAGGATTATTGTGATGATTAAGATGTGTGATGTTTATAAAGTACCTGGGCATAATGCCTGGCACATGAGTCCTCAGTATATGGTGGCTTTAATTCCTGCTTTTATTGCTGCCATTATCACCATTACTGCTACCACCACCGTTAAAGAACATTTCAAAAATAGGGACTAGAAGTTGCCCTTGTAATTTAGTTATATTTCTTTCAAATCTTCCCCCTCTCGCCCCCACCCCACCACCCCCGCAACAAAACATATCAGATTTTATACCAGGCAGGGTTTTTTTCCTCTGTAGTGCATTGTACTTGTTTTTAATAGATTATTTTCTGATTAGAAAAATAGTGTATAAAATTAGAAAGCATTAAAAAAGCAAAAGGAAAAACCATACTTGTAATGCCTGTCTCATCCCTAGTCCAGAGTCAATCACTGTCAAAATTTGATGTATCTCCTTCCAGTCTTTTATGCATACTCTATTATAGAGTTGCGATCATATTGCATATTACAGTTTTTAGGTGATTTTTCAGTTCACAGGATATCATAACTATTTTCCTTTATTGTAAGCATCATTTTCCAAGTCTGTACAATAGTCTATCAGATGGCTCTATCATAATTTACGTAAGCATTCTCCTAACGTTAGATATCTAAGTTTTTTCCAGTCTTTCAATCTAAACATCTTTCTATGATGGAACCTAGGGAATCAGCCTCCGTGTAACCAGGAAGCATACAATGAACTTGTGCTGTGTGTATGACACATGGTGGAGCCTCTTAGAGAAATTATCTCCAGAGCCTGTCCCAAAGGACCTCAGAGCCTAGACAACCTGGGAATCTTTACTGGGATAAAATATACAGGGGCTTCTTTGCCAGATACTGTCAGGGAGTCCACCCAGGTGTGGGCACCCCTCTTCCCTGTAGAAGCTAAGATCTGGGCAGCACAGCTTTTATAAGGAAAAAACTTCAGACGCCTTGCTGCCCATTCTCATCCACCAACGTGTTATTTGGCTGTCAGTGCTCAAATGCCTTTTGAATCTGTTACTGTTAGGGGCCTATGCTGATTACTTCGAATGGTTTTCACTGGCAAAGAGTGAGCAGTTATAGCATCAGGGAAGGAACTGGTGTGAGAATCAGAATGGTTCTAGTCTTAGTTTTTTAAAAATTGATTTCAGAGAGGAAGGGAGAGAGAGAGAGAAACATCAGTGATGAGAGAGAATCATTGATTAGCTGCCTCTTACACGCCCCCCACTGGGGATTGTCCCTGCAACCCAGGCATGTGCCCAATCAGGAATCAAACTATGAACTCCTGGTTCATAGGTTGACGCTCAACCACTGAACCACGTCGGCCAGGCTCTCGCCTTAGTTTTGACACACACTTGCTCTGGCACCCAAGACAAGTTCTGTCCTCTTCCCAAGCCTCAGTTTTTAATTCGTAATGTAGAAAGATTGGACTGGAAGATCTCCAGGGTTCTCCCCTCATTGACATTCTGTGAGTACCTGGAGACTCCCTCTTGCTGGGAGCTGGAGTGAACATCCTGATAAAGGTCACAGGATGCTTCTCCAGAGTGTTGAGTTCCTTTTAATTAGTACCCGGAGAACTGTTTCTGCTTTTGTATTCTCAATCACTTCCTCCTGGTAGCAGTTGGGAGGTGCAGAGACTGAAAGGCAAGAAGGGCCTCTGGCTGGGTGGACACTGGATTCAGAACCCCAAATGATTATCCATTGTATATTAGTTACTTGTTCTTTTATGTATTTTGTTCTTTCATTCATTCTCCTACTTAGCAGATGTTAGCTGAGTCTGTGGCCTTCTACAGTTCAGCTGTGCAATACAGAGGTGAATAAGACTTAGTCCTGTTCTCAAGACAAAGGCAGTGAGGAGACAGATAAAACATAAAAGGCCGCAAAATGATTGCCACAATGGGGGTACATATAAGTTGTTCAATGAAAGGAGTGCTTGAGTCTGCCTAGAAGCAAGTGTGAAGGAGTCTCAGTGGACGGTTTGCGATTTTAAAGGATGAGTGGAAGTTTTCTGGGTAGGCAGTTGAGAAGAGGTCATTCCAAGCAGAGGAACAGCATGTGCAAAGGCCCAGAAGTATGATGAACGCATCCAGAGAACTACAGATGTTTGTGTGACTGGAAGGTGAAAAGAGAGTGAGCAGATGGGAAAAGTCAAACATTTGTCCTTAGACAAGTCAGTTTCCACCAAATTCTCTGCTCATTCTCTCCATCCAGATGAGAGTGGTGGTCTTTTTCAGTTTAGTTTTCAAAAACTGTCATTTGTATTGCCTTATATTTCTGTTTTTCTGGTAATATGTGCTCAGTATAGAAAGTTTGAAAAAGTACAAAGACATACAAAGAAAGGATTTTTAAAAAATTACTCATGGTTCACTGCCTAAAAACAAATATATTATTAACATCTTGTGTATTTCATTCAAATTTTTATCACTTTTTCTTTTTATGTAATTGTGAGTATGTTGTAATTATAATCAACTTTTGTATATGGTGCCGCTTTCTACTTCCTAAAATTTGCCAAAAATAGATGTTAGTGTTATTAAAAACTAACTGATCATAAAATATACAGGCTAAAATACTGAAACATTTTCTTTCTTTAGTATAACTTATTTCCTTTCATTTTACAGATCTCCTGTGGCTCGGAACATAATCTGGCAGTGATTGGTAAGTAGCTAAAATACTGGTAGCTATTTATTCTGAAACTCATGTGGCAAATTGGAGAAGACTCTTCGTTAACCAGAGGCTAGGCCGCTAGGGTGTGTGTGTGGTGTGGTGGTGGTGGTGTGTGTGTGTATTGGGGAGATTCTGAGAAATGGGAGTCTTTGGTTGACCAAGGCTTTTCTAGAACCTCCTTTTCTACAAATTTCAATCCACATCTTCGAGCATCTTTTTAAGCTGCCTGCTGGTCTTCCTACCTGAGGAAGTGGCATTTGAGGTATGAAAGATCTTGAAGGATATTAAAGACACAAAAGGGGAAGAGGGTTGAGCTGCTACTCCTTCCTTGAGGAAATCCCTTCCACCAAGTTTGTTCCTCTTGGTTGGCTCTTTCGTTGGAAATATGGGGCTCTGTTCACCCAGTGCCTTGTATTTTGTGGTGCTTGGGAGCTCCGTTGAAGCCTCTGATTAAGTAAGGCTTCCTCTTAGTTGACTCTGGATAACCAGGGCCTATGTAATTCCTTCAAGGAGCCTTGTTACTTCCACAGGTAGACTGTCTTCTTCTCACGGTGCATTAGAGAGACAGCAATGTGGGGCCTGCCTGCCTAAGTTCAGCACACTTATTAGCTGTGTGAACTGGACAAGTGGGTACTTAACCCTTCAATGCCTCATTTTCTTCATCTTTAAAATGGGGAGGGCAGTAGTGCCTACCTCAGAGGGTTGTTGAGGGGGTTGTTAATACATGTAAAGGACGTGGAACAGTACTTAGCTCCTAGTAAGGGTTTGAGAAGTGCTGGTTGTTATTACAGACATCATTTATTCATATAATTGCCCTCCTGTGGGCTGTTGTTCCCCATCTATAAAATGGAGGGGTTAAAACAGGAAACCAAGATTCCCTCCAGCTCTGATACTCTTTTTAATATATTTTTATTGATTTCAGAGAGGAAGGGATGGGAGAGAGAGATAGAAACATCAATGATGAGAGAGAATCATTGATTGGCTGCCTCCTGCACACCCCCTACTGGGGATCAAGCCCACCACCCGGGCATGTGTCCTGACCGGAATCGAACCGTGACTTTCTGGTTCATAGGTCAACGCCAAATCACTGAGCCACGCTGCCGGCTGGACCAGCTCTGGTATTTTAGGACTGTATTACAACCTTCTCACCGCTCCCTGTGCTGAGCTCCTGCTCCCTTCCAGCCTCTGACTCTGAGCTTCTGAGGGCAAGGCCCCTGTGTTTTCCTTTTGCTTCCTGCCTGTGGCACCCAGAGCGGTGCCTGGCACTCAGCAGAGACTTGAGCTCTCTTTTCTGAATTGAGCTAGACTGGCTCAGCTGCCTGGAGTGGCAGCAGTTTGAAGCACTCCTTGGCAGGCCTGAATGTGATGTGCAAGGAGGCAGAACCAAGGACAGCAGAGGAGGCAGGCTGCCAGCCAGCAGAGGGGGTGGGGAGCGAAAGGGGCTGGAGTCAGAGAAGGAGCGAGAAGACGGAACAGTGAGCCTGCTTGCTTTGCAGCAGCCCCGGAACTGCTCCAGCCTGGGTGTAATTAAGACAAGCTAATCAGAGAGTCGGAGGAAGTGCCTAGGACAGGATGAGGCCCAGAAATCAGGATTTTAAAAAGATTCCCAGGTGATTCTAATGTGCAGCCAAGGTTGAGAACCACTGACCTAGGATGTTGCTGCTGCTGCTGTCACTGGTCTGGGAGAGGTTGGCCTCCTCTGGAACCACACAAAAAAGAAGAGTGCAGGGAATCTAAATATGTGAAAGAACAAATCGAGGCGAAGGAGGGGCCAGAGCTAGCAGGGCGGCAGCTGAGCTGAGAGGCAGCCCGGGGCTGTAGAAAGAGCATAAACTCTGCAGGCAGACAGCTTTGGTTCAAACCAGCTCCATCTCTGAGTGAGCCTCCAGCTTTCTCTCCTCTATGTCCTGGGGATGACTCCACCTTGCAGGATTGTTGTTGTGACGATGAGGTGAGATAATGTATGTGAAATAGCTGGTAAGTAGTGGGTGCATAAGAAACACACACATATGTACATATGCATTTAAAATTGTGTCTGTTTCTCATTTCTCTTGTTCAGGTGGGGAGAGGGGCGATTCATGTGTTAGTGTGACTGTTCTAGTGAAGTAATTCTTAGTTGGAAGAGAGAAATGATAGTGTCTGGAAAGGTGTGTCCCGTGTTACCCGAGTGAGGAGAACAGTGGATAGCAGGGCATGCTGGGGAACTCCCTGAGGGCAGACCTGTCGTTTTGTCCCCAGTGCCTGGGCTCTGGCTCACAGTGTGCAGAATGAATGGTTCCAGATCAGGAAAGGAGGGCCGGATCACAGGGCTCGGTACATGGCTACGTGCCTGCCTGTGAGCTGGGAGTCAAGGCACCCCAGCATGGGAGGAACGGGGCCCTTGGTGGGTGCCCTGCAGGGTGCAAGCTGTGCACCAGGAGGCAACCAGACGTGCCTGTTAGTCCTGGCAGGAGGCCAGCAGAAGGGAGACAAGCTGGAGGAGAGCTCCTACCAGCTTAAAGCCTGATTCTCACAGCCAGCGCCTCCCCTCAGCCCTGTGCATTGCCCACTTTTGATGGATTCCTCTCCTCCAGTCTCATTCCCAAGACCCAGCCCCACAGGGCCTGATGCTGGGTCCCACACGTCATAGGCACACAGTAGACTAGAACAGAATATGAAGAAGCCAAACCTTGCTCAGGGGTAGAAGCAGCCCTAGTGTTTAATGAATGACATTGGAAGGGGAGGTGAAATAGAGACGGGTGAAGGACATAATTGAGGACCTACTCTGTCTGAGAGGGGACACAACTCCACAAGTATATTAATTACATCTACTCTGTAGAGGAGACGACTGAGACTCAGAGATTAGATAGGTTAACCAGGTTGCCCAGGGATCAGTAGTAGTAAAATGTAGAGCTATCTGCCTGACTTCAGGATTGCTCTTTCAGTTCTATCAGATCCTAAGGCCTGAGGCACTATGGGTAGTGCTGAGGAAGAGTATGGGCACTGGGTGCAAATTCTGGCTCCTCCACTTGAGTATGTCGCCTTACATATGTGGCTGAACCTGCCTGGCACAAAAGTAAAGGCTCAATAAATGTTAGCTGATATTATTATTATTATTATTATTATTACCTCAAGGAAGGAAGTAATTGTAAGATGACTGTAAGAAGGTCTGAGACTCAGGGTGGGAATCCCAGGAGCTAGAGAGGGAAGTGTCTCTCCTCCCCCACTCTCAGACGTCAGGGGCCTGGGCAGGAGCTCAGCATAGCTGCAGAACGGGTTTTCAAACTGGAGCCTGGGACTCCAATCTAGCAGATCTGGAACCATTGCTAGCCCGTCAGGATGCTGCTACCCACTGTCCCAGACAGGGACTCAGACCTGCATGTCCAGCTGGAGGCAAGCTCCACAGCAGCCACATTTCAGGTTTCTTAGGGATCAAAGTAATTCTACTCTGCTACTTCATTTGCTTTCAGGTTTATCCCCTCACCCCCTCTTTTGCAATTTGCTTTGGTGCTTTCCTTAGTTTTCTAATGAAGCCTCTCTTGATATGTTCCGTTTGCTACCAGACACCCCCACCGCTAAAAAGGATGATCAGTTCTTGCTTCAGATGAACTGCTGGAGCTGGGCAAACTCCAGCGACAAGCAGGAAGGAGAGCTCCGAGGCCCCTGCCATGGCTGGTCCAGCCACTCTCTAGCTATGTCCTTGTACAATCACTCTTCCTCACCGAGCCCGATTCCTCACCTTTAACATCACCATCACAATACCCACCCCTAAAAGTTGTCTCTACAAAGGGCACAGGCATGTCCCACCAGTGACTGCTTCGTGCCTGCTCAGCGCCTGCCACATAATAGGTGCTCGCTCGCTTGGCAGGTTCACTAGTTTGCTGCCTTTCTTCTTCCTTTCCACCCAGGATTTCCCCCACATCTGACAAAGCTGCTGGCTGGCTCCCCTTTGTGGGCATAGACTGAGGGCAGCAGAGGTGAGATGAGGGCAGGTGGCCACCACTTGCTCAGAAGATCCCTGCCTGCCAGAGGCCGGCTCCCCAGGCCCGGGTCTGTCTTTGGGGCCCTCACCTCTGTGTCTGGCTGAATGGACTCCAGCTGTTCTGCTTCCCCCAGGAGCAGCTTATTTTGGCTTGAATGGGCAATTTGTTTGCCTTCTCGCCTGATGTGCAGTTGTTCAGCCTTCCCTTCCTGCAGAGAAAAAAGAGCTGACTGCATTTCCTCTCTCCCCGCTCCACACAGACCCTTGGAAAGGATTTTATTGGTGGCTTTTTCCTGGAGCGCTCAGGCTCACCAGACAGGCATTGTTAAAGGGTTAGATATTTGGCAGGAAACTGTGGTACTGCCGCCGCCTCCTCCTTTCCCTCCTCCAAGCAAAGCCAGTTCTTTTTATCAAATTGGAGCAATAATCTATGCAAGGATTTTTTTTTCCCATTTCACTGATGAGTTCCAATTGTTGAACCTTTGTATCTTTGTAATATGCGTGGCAGATGTCTGATCTTGGCTTGAAACCCATCACAGTTTCACGTATGAATTTAATAGACAGAACTCTTTTTGACACTGGCTGCTCCTCTGAGAGGTAATACCTGCAAACCCCAGGGCCTTGTAGAGAGCTTAGACGTACGTACAAACTTGTGTGGTCCTATGCACCGTGTGATGGACAAAGTGTGTTATTATCCACTTAATTATAGCAACTTGGTGAGTTGGCACTACTGTCCACCCCATTTTCTAGATGAGGGCAGCTGGAGCTTCCGCTGAGCAGCTTATCCCACACAGGTCACAGGTGGTCAGGAGGAATCTGTGGGTCAGGTCTTTAACCCAAGCCTCTAACTTCGAAGCCGGAGGTCTACTACCTGATGCTGCCTTCCTGCATACCAGTGACAGTCTTGCCTGCTTTTAAGGCCATCAGATAACCTGATTTCCTCTGCTCATTTCAGTGTTCCGTTCTCCTTCTGTACATCCCACCAGTACATCCAGCCTGAATCTCCTCTGCTTCAGAGTAAGCAGTGCTCTGCGTAACAACCAGATAAAGTTGTGAAATCTATGGCATTGTTTTGGAAAACCACCCCCTTTCGGATTCTTCTTCCTCCCTCCATTGTCCTTTACTTCTTTTTAAAAGATAATCTACTTATATAAAAGCCCTGGGTGGTGTAACATCATGACCTGTCTGGGGACCAAGCGGAAGGAAGTCAGTCCTGCAGGGGTTGTCTTGGAAACGGCTGCACCCTCCCCCGAGCTGTTTCCAGTGAGGGCGGGGATTGAGGCAGGAACCTGCCCTCGGAGCATGGAGGTATATCTTTATAAAGTGTGCTGCGCCAGCACAGCCAAGGGTGAACCTGAGTGGGGGCGGCTGAAAGGCTTAGAAAAGACAGACAAGAGAATGAAAGCTGGGTCTCGGTGGGATGCTGCTTCTCTGAGAGACAGCGACCACGCCCACAGCAGTGTCTTTATTTTATAGCAGATGCCACGAGGCAAAGTAAGGGTGTGACCAAGATGTTTACAACATTCTCCTGGGTTTCAATCCTACTCAACTACATGCACCTGAACTCTATCAAGCCTACATCACTCAGGCACGTGGGGCCACGTGTTTGGACCGTAGGTTCAAGCTTACAACTATAGCTGTTGGCTATAATTGTGCTGGGAGGGCCCTGCCCTCCAAGCTGGGACTTGCACGTGGCAATGAGAGGACTGTGCCCTCTCATCAGTCCAAGGCTTGAACCTGTCCAAAACACTGTTAGCGGCTCCCCACAATAAAATTCTAATCTACTTATATAAAAACCCTGGGTGTAACATCACAGCCAGAAGCTTGTCCAACTGGAAGGAAGTCATTCCTGCAGCGGTCGTCTTGGCAACAGCTGTGCCCTCCCCCAGCTGTTTCCTGGAGGGCGAGGTTCAGGCAGGAACCCTCCCTCAGGGTGAGGTTTCAGGCAGGAACCCGCCCTCGGAGCAGAGCATGCAAGTGAAATGATTTGTAATGGATCTATTATTGAAGCTAACTTTGGAAATACTATATCTATAGATCAGTGGTTCTCAACCTTGGCTGCACATTAGAATCACCTGGGAATCTTTTTTAAATCCGGATTTCTGGGCCTCATCCTCCGAAAATTCTGTTTCTTTGTTACTAATGTTGTGGCCCCACCCCATAACAAAGAAACAA